GCTATCTTTCCTCGCAATCAATTCTTGTGTTATTTTCAGTCCTTATTGTTCTCTCGCTATCCGCCGAATGTGCCAATCAGGCATTTAATAGTGCGTTTCATCTTCCAGACGTCCTTCCCTTTTATGATTTTTCATCGTTCTGTGTTTGATGCTTATTATTATTATTATTATTTTTTTAAAGTATAGTGTGACTATGGTATTTGATGTTTTTTGTTGTTGTTGTTGTTGTGTTATCTTATATTTTCTATTTTATTAAGTTTAACTTTTCTATTTAATTTCAAATAATTTTATAATTTTTTTTTACTTTATTTAACTTGATTTTACTTCTCAAACTTTTTACACTGGCTTTCATGATTTTTGTATTATGGTTGATGCTTATTTTTAGTAGTTTATTTATTTTCAAAAGTGTATAGTGTAACCATTTTGTCCAACTTTTTTATTTTATTGTATTTTGTCATTTGTCATTTGTGTGTGTGTGTGTGTGTGTGTGTGTGTGTGTGTGTGTGTGTGTGTGTGTGTGTGTGTGTGTGTGTGTGTATTTCCATTTTATCCTCAAATCAAATGTTATATGGCATTTTTATTTTAAAATTATTTCATTTTATTTTTAAAAAATTTATTTAATTAAATAATTAATTTTACTCTTTTACTCTTTGTATTCTGTTTGATGCTTATTTTTATTTATTTATTTTTAAAAACGTATAGTAACCGTTCTATTTAACTTTATTTAACTTTTTTTTAATGTATTTATTTGTTTCTATTTTATCCTAAATTCAATTTTTGTTTAACATTTATTTTTTTATTATTATTGTTTTATATCAAATTTTTATTTGAAGTTTTTGTAATTCTTTTTTATTCCGTGTTTGCTTGCTTTTTATTTCTTTTTAAGTATAGTCTGACTATGCTTTTCATATTTATTTTTATATTTAACTGTTTTCTATTTTATTTTAAATACATTTTTATATTTAATTCTACTTTAAAATACTACATTTTTATTTTACTTTTTTTCACATTCACTGTGTTTGCCTATTTTATATTTTTATTTCAGTGTTATTGTATTTTATGTTATATTGTTTAATATTTAATTTATTTTCATATTTTTTTACATTATTTTATTTTAAATAAACAAAGGATTTTATGTTCATTTTAAAAATAATTACTTTTTTATGTTCCTTAATTTTTTTACTCTTATGATTTTTGTATCATTCCGAGCTTTGATGCTTCTTTATATATTTTTTAACTGGGTCGCCTGTTGTCATATTTGTTTTGTCAAGGACATGTAGCCTCGCTGGCTTTTTTTGGGTGAAGATTTTTGCATCAACATGCTGTAATCCGGTCTGTATAGTGAGGACGTCATAGAAGAATACATGTAGAGTTGTTGGCCTCAATTCTTCCTGACAGGGGGTTCCTGTTACAAGTTACCGCCATTAGAATAAAGGAGAAGTTTCTCGTCTTTCTGTCCTTTTCAATTTCCTGCTTAACCCTCATATTATGTTCTCATATTACACTAAAATATCCATAAATTAGCAGCTGCATTTTGTGATTTGTTTTTATTATTAATTTTTTTCCATTTAATTAAGCTTTTTAATTACATTATGAGACGTTGATCTTTTATTTAACAACATTTAACATTAGAAAGTTAGAAAAAGTGACTTTTATGAACATTTTTAAGAGTTTAAAGTGAAATATAGCCTTAGTGGTTGTTATTGTATGTTGTTGTATAATACTGTACAAAAACCTCATCATAAACCGCCAGTACATTTTCAGTTATTTAATTATTTTAATTTCTCTACATATTATTTCTTATACATTATTTTATTTCAAACGATGAAGATGTCACTAAAAGTCACTTTGTTAAACTATAGAGTTGAATTTTCAACACAAAAGTTGACAGAGCTGAGATCAACATCCCATAATGTAATTCACAACCATAAATAAACGCGAATGGGGACAGTACGATTATCAGTGTAATTTTAGATATTGACTAATTGAAAATAAATTACAGATGTATTTTCTATGCAGATAAAAAGTAAAATGTGAAAAAACATGTACATAATAGGTATGTTTTAAATTAATCTTTTTGTACATGTAAGCAAAAAGTAAATCAGGCCACTTAATGTAAATATAAGCCAAATCCAGAAATATTTAAACTGCCCTGAAAAAATTATTCATTTGATTTACAATTTAAAAAATGGTTGCAAACATTTTTTTTTCTATTTTATTTTTAAATATGTTTTATATAAAATTTGTATTTTATATAAAAATAATTATTTTTATTTGACTTTTTAATATTTGATTTTTATTTAACATGTTTTTATTTTACTTTTAATTATTAACTAATTATTAAAATTAACAAATGATATTGTTTTTAAATTATAGTGTGATCATTTCATTTTTAATTAAATTTTTTAGTGGTGTTTTAAATTTTATTTTATAGATAATTTAATAAAAAAAAATTCTATATTTTAAAATTATTTAGAACTTTTATTTAAAAAATAATAATTTATTTTACTTTTATATATTTAATTAAAAATATTTTATTATTTTAATTAAGATATTTACTTTACTAGATTATTTTACTTTTTAAAAGAAAATTAGATTTTTTAAGTATAGTGTGACCCTTTTATTTTATTGTATTTCTTTATATTTTATTTAATATTTAAACAACAATTTTATTTTAAATTACTCTTTTTATATTTAATTTCTATTTAAAATAATTAATCATTTTATTTTTTCTTATAATTTAATTTTTTATATTTAGTTTTATTTAAATATATTTTTTAAATTATTACAATTATTTTACTTTTTAAAATTGTAACTTTTTAAAAATTTTATCCTATTTTATTTTTTATATTTTATTAAATTTAATTTAAACAAATTCTATAATATCTTAAATATTTTAATTAAATTATTTAAAATATTTTACTTTTTAAAAAATATTTTTGTATATTAAATTTTTATTTAATCATTTTTGTTTTATTTAATTTAATTATTTTACTTTTTTTACTTTTTATGATTTTTGTATCATTCAGACTGAATTCATATGGCCTGAGTTTAAACTAACACATTTAGCATTACTAAACTGAATTTGTTTAAATTCAACCCATATAGATTGGTAGCAACCACTTGCCTTCAAAAAAATGTCTAAATCCAATGAATTATTCATTTTAGGTGTGGTAGATTAAAGAAATGTATAAAAAAAAATCAAGTACTTCATCTGCCATTTCAACTCTATTTTGCGAACATGTGGAATCGACCTGCAGCATTGTGTAAGGTCTAAAAGTGTAGTTAAACTCTAAGTTACTCTGTAATGAATCAATGCTCTTCAATCGATGCCTTTCTTTTAAAGTTGCTGGTGGAATGGTCAATATCTCTAGACTAATCCTGGCCGATGCCGTACAGCTGTTTTGATGTCTTCAAGATCTTTTGCAGTTCTATACTCTGAATCTATAGCATGACAGCATGAACTCCGGCTCACTCCAGACGTTGAGCTTTCATCAAGCCGAGAGCGAAATCGATCCGAAACGGTGCTGGTTTGATGCCCTCCGGATGATCTTGTCATGTGTGATTGTGCATTCGGCTGACAGGAGATTGACTTTGTTTCTGTGTTACATGTACTGGAGGCTGTTGGACATGTACAGCTGTCTGCATTACTCTCTTTCTCTCTCGCTTAATATTCATTCCATCTGGAGCCTTAAGGTCATGCCTGGCTTTACAGCTTGCTATAGGGCTTGTTGAGCAGTAAGAGTGGCCTTCACTATCATTTATATTTGGGTGCAAAAGTCAGACTCCTCTTCATATCATTGCAAATCATGATTTTTTGTTTTGTTTTCTGAAGCTGAAGATATTTTGAGAAATGTCAGTATATTGTTGGCCAGTGTCTGTTTTGTTCCTGAAGTTCTTTTAAAATGCAATGTTTCTATTTATCTTACGTGAAAGAATTGCATTTGGGTTCAAAACGGCATGGTTGTAAACCGATTTACTTACCATTTAGTTCTTGACAATACAGGGATATTCATATGCAAGTCAGTGGGTAGCCTTTTTTTGTTACAATTTAGTTTAAGTACAACTCTATCACCAATACTAGTGACTTTATTACCTGCCTATTATTAAAATATTAGTTTATTTAAAGTACATCTTTTTCTGCATCCCTAATTCCACTTAATATCTAAACTTTGACTAATTGAAAGCTATTGATAAGCAGCTAATTTTAATTAAGGCAAAGTCAAAGTTAATGATTGTTAGCGGGAATTATACCGTATAGTGTGGTCATTTTATTATTTTTTTTATTTTATATTTGAGTTAGATTATTTAATTATTTATTATTTTATTTTATTTGTTGTTATTTTCTTAAGTTTTTATTTTTAATTTTTATTTTATAATTGTTTTATATTTTAATTTTATTAATATTTTAATATTTTTTATTTTTGAATTATTTTATTCTTATTTTTTTTATATTAATTATATTTTTATTATTAATTTTTTTATTTTATTAAATTTTTTATTTTTATTTTATGTTTAATAATTTATTTCATTTCTTATTTCTCAATTTTTATATAATTTATATTTTATTTTTTATTTTATTTGACTTATTTTATTCCTTAATTCTTCGAACATTTCTTCAAATTGTTTATTCTATTTTTAATACAATTTTTATATAAATTTTTTTTTCTTTTTTTTTTTCTTTTATTGTATTTGTCTCTTTAAAGTAAAAAATATCTAATTTATGCAAGTCTGTTTAAAGGTATTTTTTTATTATTTATTTATTATTATTATTTTTTTAATTAAATTCAAGACCGTGATTTTGGTGCATTTTTGTGTACATTCAGTCAGACAGATGTTTTTAAGACATTTTAGTTCTTTCAGTTGTAGTTTAAACATTCATAATCTCCAAAACAAAATGGCTCTTTGAATTCCTGGAAAGTTATTGAAGTAGAAAAAACAGTCTGTAGAATGTGGTGAGCTAAATGTAGTCTTGTGTTTTTTTTTTTCTCTCTTTCCAGGTATTTGGAGATTATTATCACTTCAGGCACCGCACGGTGGTGAAGAGGTCTTTATCAGAGCACAGAGGCACACACATTCGTCTGCACACAGAACCCCAGGTATGTGTGAAATTTATAATCCAGATCTGTCTCTGAGCACACCACTCAAAGGCAATGTTGATCAGTCCTTGACTAAGTGAGAAGTAAAGCAGAATTACTGAAACCACTGAGACCTAAATATATCTGAGATGTACAAAAATAGCCTGAGATCTGTGAAAATAATCTTGTTTTGACAGTATTGGCCATGTCTAATAATGCTGCGGATGTATTTTTAACCTGACTTTGCTTAAATAAATGTTTTTAAGACAAAAACATAGTTTCCAAGCTAGCTAAAGTGCCTTATTCATTTAATTTTGATGTAATTTTAATGTTTTAAATCATTTTAGACTGCATTTCACAATTTTTGACGAAATCTGAGACCTCTAATATAAAAATGAATCCATTAATGTAATATTTGTAATAATGTAATATTTATTTAAATTATATGTATATTATTAAATTAATGTATAATTTATTTTAAAAAATCAACATTTTATGAAGGTTAAACATGACCATCACTAATCTTGTAAGAATTTCAGCTATAATTTGTACATTATACCTTGAATATCAAGCAAGTTATTTGAATTGCACTGATTTATGATGTTTTTCTAAGGTTAAGTTTTTGTGTGCTTTATATACATAGCTTTATATACCAACTCCTTCCTTGCTTCAGCTAATAGGACACCACATGACTTTGGACATTCGTTAGTGCTCTCAGTGTTTTTAAGTCTGTCTGGTTCCTCAAAGACCTCATTACGTTTCCTCAGGGACTCCAACAAAAGATCTAATCATTGTTGGGAATGAAAGGAAGCACTAGAACCAGAGCACTTACATTTCATGTTGTTCATCTTTATTATTTCATCTGACACTGTGCAGCACACTTTCTTCTCTAGGTTTATTTCAAAAGGATTGGGAAGAAACGTTTTCGATTTCAGAGATCTTGTTTTTCTTTTTCTAGAAACCCAGCTGGTTTTTGTTCTGATGTAAGTGAAGTTTCAGCTCAAAATACAACATAAATCATTTTTGTAACTCTTTGAAACTACCCCTGTTAGGGTTTTATTAATAATTGTGCTGTTTTAATGACTGACGCTTTCAATTCAAATAATATTGTGATGTTTTCGAAAGAGGGCGGAGCTATAAATGTCTGCGTCAGCATAGTGGCAGATTTAAAACAGGACTAACGCTCTGGTAGACCTGGGCATTTTGCGACCCGCTGGACTACTTTGATGGGCCCTGGTGAAGGATTCAGTTAATTTAAATTCAACCACAAACAGGGCCTTGCAATGCGCAGGTCTGATATGGTGAATCACAAAAGGGCACTTTCACATATAGCGCCTTTATTTCAAATGGAGACATGTGACTTCAGTGAGCAAATAGGAAGGGATGCATATGCGTTATTTCACGCATGTGTTTTCCAGGTGCCGTGAGTTATAATAATACAATTATAATAATTTTTTATAAGGGGCTTTATTGGAAAACGCTTTACACATTGGGGGGAATCTCCTCATCCACCACCAGTGTGCAGCATCCACCTGGATGACGTGACGGCAGCCATATTGTGTCAGACTGCACACCAGCTGATTGGTAGAGAGGAGATCGAGTGATGAAGCCGATTAAGTTATGGGGATGATTTGTAGACTGTGATTGGCCAGAATGTGGGGGTTAAACTTCTATTTTTTATTTTTTATTTTTTAAAAAGCATCCTGGGATTTTACAGACCACAGAGAGTCAGGACCTTGGTGTAACGTCTCATCCGAAAGTTGGTGCTCGCTGAGCAATATAGAATCCCTGTCACTGTAGGGACCCACACAGACCACAATTTGGGCGCCCCCTGCTGGACTCACTAACACCACCTTCAGCAGCAACCTAGCTTTCCCATGCATCTCCCATCCAGGTACTGACCAGGCGCAACTCTGCTTGGTTTCAGTGGCTGACCATGTGAGAGTTGCAGAGAGCTACCTGTCAGATAAAAAAACAAAACTTTTCTGAATGCCGTGAGTGAATCACGAATCGTATGACAGGAACCAACCAGGCAACTCCAGATACTGATCCTCTCTCATTGATGATCTTTACATCACATAGCCTATCGGCCTCACATTCAACCTGACTTCAGTGCACTCATTCAGCACAACACAGACCAGAATTCTCTCACTGAACATTTAAAATATATAAATAAATAAAAATGAACTAAGGCGAGTCAATCAAACAAACCCTGTGGCATTTATATGAAGTTGATATTGTGATGCTGGTCTTCAAAATACCTAAAATAATCTTCAGTGTTTTTATAAATGTTTATTGAATAGTTTCACTGAATTATTATAATTTTTATTTTTTTTAAATAATAACTTATTGACTGTATTGGTCAGGCCCGCTGAAACGGACCCAGTCTCTAATGTGGCCCCTTGGAAAAATAATTGTCCACTCCTGGTCTATGAAGACTACAGTGTTCATTTGTGCATCGTAAGACTCCTCATTTATAATCGTCTTAGTCACTGACTATCTTCAGCAGGTAAAAACTGTAATGGCTCACGTCTGCTTCTCACTCAGGGCTACCTATATGCTAATGATGGAGAGCACATTCCTAATGGGCGGGCCTTTCCCTCTTAAATCAAAGTGTTTCTGCAGCTGTTTTTTATGTAGTGATTATAAAAAAAACATATAATTAATTTTTATCATTAGAGGCTGGCTATATTTATACACTTTCGCCACTTTTTTTTCACACACTTTTTTTGTTTTAACTTCTTATGAATGTGATTTTTGTATAATAGGTCCCCTTTAAAGGGCACATATGATGAAAATCCTCTTTTTGTAAGCTGTTTGGACAGAACTGCATGTAGGTAAAGTGTGTCCACAGTTAATTGGAGTAATGTTAAGTAAGTCTCTTTTTTTTTTTTTTTTTTATGTCCTGATGTTAAAATAGCATCCAAATCTGTCCTTTTTTTGAGGCAAACTGCAACTTTGTCTGAGTGCAGTTTTTTTTATTGACTGTCGCGTATTAAAATGTCTCCATAGTAATGTGTATAATCATATCAACAAGACAGGACATGCGCAAAGCAACAGGGATTAAAAGATCTGTTCAGCTCTCTGTCATCAGCAGCACCTCAATAATGAGTTTTACAAGTTTAAAGCGTTTCTAAAACAGCGCATGTTTGTAATAATGACAATAAAATTGTTTCGTAATACTTCACTCAGCTGCATGTCAGTACAATTATAAAAAAGACGGTTCACGGAATCAAATCAGGTTTATTTTGTACATTAACATTAACAGATATCCATACATATCTATACACCAGTCACATGCAAACAGTGCATAGCTGTGTGTGCATGTGTGCGAACTTTATAACGACGTTGTGAGTGTGACTCTTTGTTAAAGAGGCTTGAAATATCTCCACAACCAATATATCAAATAATCATTGGAAAAGTTCTTACTGTAGTATAAAGGAGATCTGCTTCATTGTTGTCTGATACTGTGCTGCTTATCCGTGAGATGCAGCAGGAGAAGCTACACCCATCATAGCAATAGTGAGCAACCTCTTTAGCTCTGACACGCACATGGGAACAGTGGGTGGGCAGAAGCAGCTGATTTGCACTAAAGTCGCAGGCATCAAAACAGCTACAAAGCTCAAATTTCCAATATACACAAAGGTATAATAAATAATCTGATGGGTGTTTTGAGCTGATACTTCACAGAAACATTCTGGAGACACAAGACTCAACTTAAATCTTGAAAAAGGCTGCAAAACTAGGCAGCAATAACACAATTCTGCAAATCAGACATACAACCAGAAGGGGCTAATGTAGCAAAATAGTTCAATCTGCATAACGGCGTAATTACGTAATAACCCAGAGAGGTTTCACCGACAGAAAGTCTCCCTTTAAGAAAATGTTTATTAATATCTAGTTATATGTATGTACATGATACAAATGATTCATTTAAGTGTATATGTTAAAGGTTTAGCGTGATTTTAGTTTTTACGTTTGTGTGTGTATTACACACATATTGCATTCTTTGGATGTGATTTAATCTTTGCCTAACACATATAAAGCTGAACCAACTTAGACTTTTCATGGCATTTATATATTGCTGCTTTCTAGTGAGCTGGAGTGCTGCTATTATCTTCATTTGTACGTCACTTTACATAAAAGCGTCTGCTAAATGACTCGTGTCCTCTGAACGCCATTTATGAATCTTTCCATTCTTGTGAAATGTATACATCACAACACCTCAGTTTCCTCCCCGGCATATGTGGCTCCAAAGAACACCAATAAACCTTCTCAGTTTCTTGTCACTAGTTTGAAATACGAGCGTTTAAAGTGGCCCTGCTCGCGATGCGTCGTCCTGACATCTGCATTCGTTCAGTGCAACATCGGTATTTGTCGTTCAGCGAATTCTCCGATCCAGATGGGGAGTTCTGAGGCAGCGTGAAACACAAGCCCTGCGATTTTTAATACCAAAGGACCGCTGAGGGCTAGAAACCCCCTTAATGGAAATCACCGACTGGACCCGTATGGCCCATTACTCACCTTCTAGAGGGGGTTAAAAAGTCCATCTTGTAACATGACTGCAGCGCCACGCTTCATCAGCGCCAACGGCCTGCAGGAGCAAAAGCGGCTTCCCTCGAGATGGCAAAGGTACTCCATTGTCCGGCATGCAGAAGTGATGAGGTGTGTGAATAATGAACCTACCTGAGTCCCAACACCATGACGGAGAGCCCTGCTTGACTCCAGTAGGAAAGCGAATGTGTTCATTTACTGAGAGTTTTTGTTCTTAAATAGTCATTGGTATCCTCGAGGTATGCTGGTGCTTGTTCTGTTAAAATTCTTGCGTTGGCAATAAGTGTTAGGTGTAATTAGTTACAAAGTAAGTAGTTAGTGTTATTAATTCGCTTCCTTGCTGAAAAAGAGTAAAGGGATTACATTTAATTTGATTTAGTTACTTTGATCCCACATTGTATTAGGTGGCCTTAACCAGTGTTGGGGAAACACTAGTTACATGTAAAGGTGTCACGTAATTTAATTAC